CTAACCGAACAGGTTTTTAATTTTAATTTTGAGATTCTAGTAATTAGGATTCGATCTTTGAAGCTAACAGTTGGTTAATATGACGTATAAACAATCAACTGAATGATAATTGTTTCGAACATTTCTTTACAAAATAAATAAATAAAGATAGGCTACTAAATAATGAAATGTTTACAATAAATTAAAAACAGAAATAAGAAAATCAAACATTCAATTCGGCCAGGGGGTAAAATTCCTGGGGGTGAAAATCCGGGGGTAAAAATCCGGGGGTAAAATTCCGGGGGATAAAAGTCCGGGGGTAAAATTCCGGGGGTAAAAATCCGGGGGTAAAAATCCGGCCCGTACATCTTCAGTTGTCTAAACGCTAGTTATATGGACAGTGGGTAAAATTCCGGTTTTTATTGCTAATATAATTAATCACGCTCTGTCTATTTTCATTAGACTTCCAAATCCGCGGGGGTAAAATTCCGGCCGCGAACAAACTTTTGGCCACTCAGGTTACTACGTCATAGTGACGTCAGCTTTGCCCAGGGGGTAAAATTCCAGGGGGATAAAATTCCGGCGACCCAAGACATCTACCTCAAAAGTGGTCGTAAAACTGTTACTTTAGTAGTCAGCCCCTTCTTGACAATAGTAATGTAAAATTCTGACCAAACAGATTCCACATATCCCCAACTTTTAAAACGTAAACAGACAAATGGTAAAATTTTTTACTATTTAACAACATTTCGAAATGATACAGAACAGTAACATAGATCGTTCGTTCCCTCACTTAGAAGTAGATGTCAATGGTGTTACGCACAGTTAACCCCCGATTTGTGAAATATAACAGAATGTAGGTTCAAAATTATCTCAGAAAATTGAGACCATTTTTGTACGAAGAAAAATTTAAGTGTGGGAGGTTTAAAGCTTTAATACGATGAAAGCAATGGAATTTATTTACATATTTACATTTTATTAAAAGAAACGTTGTGACGGGACAGCTCCACATTGTGGAAATCAGGCCAAGTGTGAACGCTATATGGGCCAAGTGTCCCATTGTGCCCCACGGTTTGAGTCGTTTGCTCACGACTAGTATCAGGGTGGCAGACTTCAGGAGAAATCACATCCCACCGCAACGTTTTATTGCAAGGTATTTGATTACATGAAGGTGGGCTTACTCTTTATAGCCTTATCTTATCTCCGTGGGTACTGAACCCTGAGGATTCTGGCCTCCGATTCGCTTCTAAGCCCTGCCTATTCTAAAGTAGATCCTAGTCTGGAGATGACCTTTATTAATGGTCTTTCCAATTCATCAATAATCAATTACACTTGACATGGGGACGCCACCTAGGTCCGTATTTTAACCAAAATATATATATGAAGGATCAATGTATAATGTTGGGAGATGATCTGTGTAGCTTTGTTACTGACTAAACTAAGACCAACTGTGGACAGCTGGGTCCAATTTCGAACCATCAAAAAGCCATTCACTTTTTTTCTTCCAAGTAAAATAAAGATAGGGTTATTGTCCAAAAATATTTTTTCAAGCACCAAAGTGGTCATAATTTAAATATCTAGTATACTGTGCGATGAGATATGTTCTTTGTAGTTTTGAATTGTTCTCCAAGGTCCATGGATGCTAGTGGCCATCTTGTATCTAGTATATTGTGAGGAGTTAGACCGTCTAGGCTCCAAGAACTCAATGGAATTCATTTATATATTTTGCGAGTCCCATGCCTCTTTTAAAATAAGGTCTCTAAAAGTTACACTCTCTTAGTGTTGTAGAGAGGTGAACGGTTGAAAGAAACATAATACTGCTACAGGTGTGACCAAACGTTTAATAAAACAAAACAATTTAGGAAAACAAAGAAGCACAAAGGGTGACAAAACCAAATAAGACTTTTGAAAAAAAACAAAGATTAACAAAGTAAGAAAAAGATTTAGGGTTACAAATTATATGACTTGATTGTTTTACATCTTTATAAATTTTATTATATTTTTTTACATACTGCTAATGGTCCCTGAAGCACTCGCACAGACTAAGCACTCCAATCTTCGTTGTTGCCCGCGGTAATCCTCTTGATTTTTCCTCTCGGGTCCTCCAATTCCAAGACTAGTCGCCCCTCCATCTTCTTCATTAGACCTTCTCATTGTCTGATTACCGATATGGTGTTGCTTAGGTTAAAGTTGTTTCTCAGAAGTTATCCCTACCGGCACCGGCCATCGCCCAGCTCACGTCAGCTGGGAAAGGAATTTGATAATCGATGCTCATGCTACACTGTTCACACCAACTGCTCGACTCCACTGGTTGTAAAGTGAACAAGTGTTCTGCTGCGTAGATGATCACCGCGGGTACAGTGTTAATCCCCCTTTCTTACAATTAACATTTTAGTAAAAAAATGTCATGACGGAACAACTCTACAGTGTGGAAATAAGGCAAGAGTGTGAGCACTCACTGTGGTTGTGTCCCATCTTACCCCACGGTTTGAGTCGGTTGCTCACGACAAGTATCAGGGTGGCAGACTTCAGAAGGAATCACATCTCACTACCGTATTATTGCGAGGTATATTTGAATCCCGAATAGTTTAAACTTATGTGAATTTTATTTTTGTTTAAACTTATGTGAATAATGTATTTATACATCGAACCATAAATGTTATAAAAAAGGATGATAAGCCACATCGCATGAACAATATTTATTTACAGACAAACCAATTTTCAAATGGTCTTTTATTTGTTGTAGGCCTAGTGATATGCTTTTATAAAACCAGTTACAGTTCATAATTACTGTATCAACTTAATAATGCTGAAATATCGAAACCCATAGAATAGACGCAGATGATCGTTCACAGAAGACTTAGCTAGGCCTACTGGCCTACTTTCGGCCCACGCCTAGACCAGTCTTGCACATTAGATGATCTTTTACAAGCAAATGACAAAGCCATATCGGTAGCTAGTTTTTGGAAAAACGAAGTCTGATTTCCGGACACGGAATGTAAGTACTGGCATAGATAAAACATACTCCCTTAGTAGATTTCTCATCCTAATGTAACAGCTGAAGACAATTTCATTGTTAGTTCTGTACGGTTTATGTAGAGGTCGTGTTTTGTTTACAATTTGTTTCCCGTTAATAGCGTCATTTAAAACCTCGTTTAACCAAATCATACGATCTAATCATCAACAATAAATTGTCCCCTAGTTATTTAACCAAACAGTAAAGTACAAATCAATAAATTAACCCTAAAATAATATAAACAAAATTTCCTCAACACTAGCGCCCAGTGTGGCGTACATGAACTAGACATGAAAAACGAGCTTCAAAATTTACAATGGGATGAGAAGTCTACTTGTGTTGGTTAGTCTATTGTATTGTACTGGCCTACTGATGCTCAAACTTGCCTATAGTGCTAGTACGACCATTAAGAGCAAAAGAGCTGTACAAATATTATCACATTCGTAATTATAGTTAATGGTTGTATACGTTTCAAGAGATGAAACCCCTCTTCAAACTCTCCTCATTGGACAATAGTCGCAAGGCTTCAGTATCAACTGTCATAGGTGTAGGGTAACACGGGGTATTTTCTACTTGATTAACCCAATGTGAGTGCATATCGATTATATCGTTTCTGTTACAGACTCCCGGGGCTATACCATAAAATACACAGATTGCATGAATGTATGAATGTACCTAGCATCGGACTTTATCCATTTACTACCGCATTGACTTAAAACATTTTAAGGAAATTATCATTGATCATTGACCTTATTATGGAGAATCCACTTTCTATTTAAAAATCCGAAGCCTGCTTTAATGTGTATTTGATTGGTTACGTTTGCGTTGATTATTGAGCGTTTCTCTATAAAGGTTAATTTTAAATTTTACAATGAATTATAAAATGTCAGTATCTATTTTTAGGTATAACCAAAAGGATAACATATGTCATGTGGATAAATGGACAATTATATTTGTTCTAACTGAAAAAAAGTAAATGAAACGTCAAATACCCAATACCCCGCAGCAAACCTGCAGACTAAGCGAATTTCCATTTGCCTGAATTGATTTTAAATTAAATCTTTTTAAATAACATTAGGTTTAACAAGTACCTAGGTTTGCTGCTACAGGGAGGCTAATAACGCGTTTTGTTTGTTTTTTTAGTAAAATATTAGTAGGTGATTTGTAATGTAGAATTTCCCATAAAAACTTATAAATGAACGGAAAAGTCGATTTTGATAAAAAAAAAATGTGTATGTTGTAGCCCTTTAAATTATAAACAAAATGGTAGAACTCCCATTTCTGTAAAAATTACGGTTCAAAAGTTATTGTAAATTATGTTAATTTCCCATTAAAAAACCCCCATAAAAAAAGAGAAAATCGTATTTTCGAAAGAAACCGGTTTGGATTGAAATTAGTATGTTATAATCCTTATAATTCCAAACAACATAGTGCAACCTCCCATTACTGTAAAAACATGGTGGTAGGGATGGTAAAAATTATTGTTCAAAAGTTATTGTAACTTATGTTATTTTCCTATGTACACCCATTTAAAAAACTGGAAAATGGATTTTTTGAAAAAGAACCGATTCTGATTCTGATTGGAATTCTTCTGTTATGGTCCTTATACTGTAATTCTAAACAAAATAGTGTGTCCCTTCAATCCTGTTAAAATTCCTGTTCAAAAGTTAATGAAACTTTTGTGATTTTACCTATTAAATATAAACTCCCATCGCTTACACATGATAACGGTAGTTGATAAGCTAATGGGAGAAAGTTTGTATGTGGCAGATTGCTCATACAGTTTTTTTTTTTTTTTTTAGTGATGTTGTTAGTCACTATGCAAATGCAAAATATTCATCTGACAGTAGAAAAACCAGCTGTGTTTTTATTTTTGTGTTTGTTCTTTTTGTGGTTGGTGTTGGTAGCTCTGCTCTCGTGCTCTGGCAAACGTGGTCATTATTGTTTGTTGTTTGTTTACATGTTCACGTCCGTCCACGTCACGTTGACGTTAGGCTATGTTGTGTAAGCGTAAGGTCTAGGTTATGTGTGTCCTGTCTTGGAAATAATCCTTATAACTTGAATTGCAACTAATTCAAAATTGTTGAAAGGCTTAAGAAAATAGTGTGTGTAAACTCAGTTACATAGGTTCTAAACCATTACGATCTGTGAAATTAATATTTAACGTTTAATCTGCCAGTAGCCAGGTTAGGGAAATGAATTTGTTACCTAAAGCCACATCTGACTTCAGCCAAATAGGCTATTGGGACAGTTTCTTTAGAAAAAGAGGAAAGAGAGCATTTGAATGGTAGGTTTTATATATTTTAAAACCTCATAGCTATTTTAAGATGAGGACAAGAAAACAACAGTAGACTCCTGCTAACTTGATTTTATATCTCAAGCTATTATCGATCCCCTGTCTCAATAAATAAATACCATAACCGTACACAACACAAAATAATTTATGGGTTTTATCTTACCCCTAAGATCAAAGGGTCACTAAAATTCTGTCTTTCATTTAAAGGCTATTAGGTACCTTTAAATACTGTTGTGTATTTTAATGATAACTAAGTTAGTTGATTTCGGTAGGCTGTGTCATCAAGTCTTAAGTAGGCTTTATTATCTATCTTGGATTGTAGATGGTTCCACTCCAAGGTCCTAAGAAACTCATCCCCACCAAATGCCAAGAGTCTCTGTTGTTTTTATTTTTAAACTGGTCTCTGTCCGATCGCTCGGTTGGAAGTGTAACTTATTGAACAGTTCTGGCTTAACTTACTTCAATAAAAAAATGAAGGCTTATGCAAAAGTGCATCTTGGTTTATCCAGATAAGCACTTCCTCGAGAGGTGTTGTGCTGATTTACTGTACCATGCTACATTAAGTCCCCATTAATACTCTCTTTCACGTAGCAAACAGAGTTAAGTACACATGCCTAACTTACTGACTAACTTATAACAAGTTAAGTGAACAGCACAAATGCCTGGCTGTGGTCCTGGCGGCCTACCGAAGCGATAACAAAGGCTGTAATGTAAAATGAGCCACAACGAGGCTATGGAAGATAACCCCTGAAGTTTCAACATTACTAGGCTATGCCTAGTAGGAAATTAAAAGTTAAATTAACTTATCCATCTGTTTAGGTATGGGGAGTACCCAGAACTGTGTGGAATATTGCATAAGTACATACGTCCTAAAGACAAGACACTGGTGATTGGATGTGGTAACTCAACTTTGAGTTCTGACCTCTATGATGTTGGATATAGGTAAGTAAACCTATCATCGGTAAAGTTTGCTTATTTTAATGACATAGAAGTTAGATCTCTTGTAACATTGACATGTCAAGGAACATAAACAAGCTCTGTCATGGGCTGTCCTAATTGGTTGTTATTTTTTACTATAGGCTACCTCATAGCACTTGGCCTCTGAGTTGGTGCCTAGGTAAGTATAAGTTTATATATTTTTTCCCTGCAATATTATTGAAAGAATTAACTTACTTACCGGTTGTTCTTACATTAAAGAAGCTAGGTAGGGACTACTGAATTCTCAGTACCTTACCTTCTCTTTGGGTCGACATATTCCACATTATTTCCTCCATAGTTTTAATTACTTTATATTTAAGGCCTATATTTAGCTTACCAGCAGTTTTTTTTTTTTTTTCTAACGAGGTAGGCTACCTACAATATTTTTATAATTACAAACTGGGTTTGAATAGTAGGTGCTGTGTCTGTTTCATATTTTAATAAAGTTTGGCAGTTTTACCTTAAGGGTCCGCTCTACCCCTGCTTTTTCGTGTAAACTCAAGGGTCTGGGGCAACATTGTTTCCGAAGGCTACATTTCACGTAGAATCAAAGTTAGGGTGTCATTTCAAAGAGGATTAAGTTATCTAAAATATAGTGGTTGCAATATATTTACTATCGTACCATAAAGCCTGAAACTCTTCTTTTGAATGTAAACAAAAAATGACAACTTTAAACTGCTGTAACTTATTATAGAGTAGTTACTTTAAAATTCTGAAACAAGGATCGCATAGGTTGTTACTTGTTCTTTAAAACCCCGTTTATTGTTTTTCACTAGCATGTATTAGGTAGCTTACAAATGCAGTTGCCGCGGACTAGCAAATTTGCAACTAGCAAATTTGAATCCGTAACGTAGGCTACCAAATGCAATTGAGAAATCCGAGCTGAGATAGAGCGCAGCCTTAAGTTTTATTTCAACCTTTTCAAGATTTCCTAACCCATCTCTTTGAGCCACAGAGCATGCCTAGTAATCAGAAAGTTAGTTTCAATGAGCGCTAGAATGAAAAGAAGCCTATTGATGAAAAGAAAGGTTTAATCATTATTACTAAGCCAATCAGGATCCAAACCAATTTTGTCACTTCCTAGGTTCTGAACTCTATTACAGTCTCACAAACTAATCTTAGTGAACAACAAGGTGCATTGCAATTTACAGAAGGCATATTTGCCCATTAACAATCAGTTATTTTGATCGCCAACAAAACTAGTTTAGGCCTACTGTCTACCGTTACACATCTTCTTATGGACCTTTGTTTCAGACAAATTACCAACATAGATGTAAGCTCAGTGGTCATAAAACAAATGAAGGCCAAGTCCAAGATAAAACCTGGGCTAGAATATCAGCAGATGGACGCAACTAAAATGACGTTTCAGGACGCTTTGTTCAACGTTGTTCTGGACAAAGGAACTCTGGATGCCCTTATGCCAGACTCTAATCCAGAAACCATTGACAAAATAAATGCACTATTTAATGTAAGTTTTTGGACAATTTAATATATGTAGGCCTAGTCAATATTGCTACACTACTTGGGACAATTTACTTGAATTCCAGTGTTAAGCTGACTTAAAATTTGATTTTTAGCTAAATATTCTATTTTTCCAGGAGGTGGATCGAGTCTTGACACCGCTGGGCCGCTACGTATGCGTCTCCTTGCTACAGAGACACATCTTACAACATCTCCTAGACCAGTTCTCTGGTAGAGGATGGATGGTGAGGATTCTGCGTTGTCTTGAAGCTGAGAACAAGTCCGACTCTGGCATGACCCTCCCAGTGTTTGTCGTCATCTGCACTAAACTGAAGAAGATGCCGGGTAGCAAACCGGTTAGTTGATAGTCCTAATCACTAAAGTTGCAGTTTACACGGAGGCCAGTCGGCAGCTGCCTGCGGCCTCAGTTAGTATATTTCAAGTTACCTGAGATAACCTGCCTGCTTACTCGTGGAAACGCGCCTTAAGATTACTTCCTTCTGTCTAGTCTAAAAAAACCAGTGTTATTGGACCAATAGTACGAGTACTTGAAGCTGATACATAAAAGAAGTGATAAACTAAAATTTAAGGAAATTGTTCTTCAGTAGGACTTAAAAACGCTTTAATTTCAAATTAGGCCTATTTAACTTCATTCCACTATAATGTAGTGCAGTTCAAACAGAGTAGCCCAATCTCCATTCTCATTATTCATTCTAGCTCCTTAAGAAGACACAAAAAGTAATCAACTCAACCCTTCTGATTAAGATGCTAACGGCAAGGCAATAGTTGCTGACTTAAGGAAAAATATTCAAGCCTAATCTTATTTTTACACCTATTAATTCCGAGTATGTTTGTTACGGTACTGAATATATAAAAAGTGTTTGATATTTTTTGGTAAGTCACACTTTGTTAGAGTGTAAACATTTCGACTCTCAGACTATTAAGTGATTAGTAAACACCTGAGTTCAACTTCAGCTAACCACCCTTTTAGCCATTTGATTATGCCGTAACTTAGACACTCCCACCTAAGATGTAGCCTATATCCATCTATCTAGAAAATATAAATTAATCAATATAGAGCCAACCAAAAATTTTTGTAAATAATACTGTCTTTTATTTATGAACAATCAAATTAATACACTTGATCATATCACCATATTAACAAAACACTGATAGAAGTTATCTACAAATACTATTTCAAACCAAATGTTTAGATTTAGTTGCTGTTTTTTTCAAATGCCAGTTAAACCCTAATCAGCTGCTTGATAAGACACTTGTTGAAGATGCACTTTACCCTGTCGGCTGATGCTGTCCGTCTGCCTATATCTGCAGACTTTGGTTCATCAGCTCATATGTTACTCCTTCCCTTTAGCCAGGCAAATATAAACATTGAACAGATCATCAAGTCTATCACATTTACAGTGTCATTATCTCTTTCACTTTGCCGATTTAAGTGTTTAAGGTATGTTTCAATGGTGGACTCAGTTTATTTATTTTACTTTATATAGATTTTTTACATGAAGTTATGTGTAAGATAAACTTTTTTTCTCTAAGAGTGGTTATGGAATTACTTCTGGAAGAAATTAGTTTAGGTTAATATTAGGGATGGACGAGATTGGATTTTTTGTTCGAGACGAGATTTTTTATTTTTCATAAAATTTTGAGACAGGATTTCCCTTCTCATACACAACGGGAAATGCACGTTCAAAATTTTGACCTGATTTTGTAACATTGTTAGATGACTGTTTAAATACAAAAATAATGATAATAGGCAAGAATATTTACAATCTTTTATTAAAAAACATCAGCATAACTTAACATTTTTTTATTAATCACGCCTAACTTGTTAAAAATGCCTACGATTAGGAAACATAGTGATATCAGTTAGGATAGAGTTCAACTTATCCTAAAATAGAATAAATCATAAAATAAAAGCAATATTAATTTTTATAAAATAGTTACTTGTTTTGACTTTTTATAGTAATAAAACATTCCTCACACTGCTTACACTTAACAAAACTTCTCAAATGTTATTAAAGTAACATTATTAAAATAATTAAAGTAATATTTACATTTAAAGAATTAATTAAATAAGAACGCCTTCGCAAAGGAAGCGCAACTACCACACGCTCCTGTATTGCGGGTATTGCATTGACTTTCTGCAGGCGTTTTTAATTTTTTTATTTTTTATTCTTGTCTCGATAAAAATCTCGGCTAAAAAGAAATCTCGTCTCGTGTAACGAGATTTAAAATTTCCCGAAATTTTGAGACTTGACCATCCCTAGTTAATATATACTAGAGGTGGTCCAGTGGTCGAAAAATCAACCAAAAATATGTAGCCTAATGTACAGACTTCTCCATTTTCACCCCACACTGTAAATAAAACATGTGATTTGAATTTCTTGAAATTCTGTTTGTTTTGATTTTCTGTTTATATTTCGTTGTTATTTTGTCACTAGCATGGCAACTCATAAGGCCCACGTTAATTTTTTAAAATTTTAAATTCATTTTTTGTGCTTGTTTTTTAGCCTATTTTAATTTATAAAGGGATTCTGCACAACTACTATATAATTTTTGGAGTTATTGAACCAGAAGTAGGCCTAACTATACAGTATATATGTGCTTGCAGGTATTTGAGGTGAGTCAAGGGGGAGAAATTGTTCAGAGGATGGCAACTCTTGAAGAAACTTTGGAATCTGTCAAGACACAGCAGGACACAGCTCTAGTATGTTCGGGACTCAACCGATGCAGTGTTGCCAACGCAGGAGAGGTCACCATCGAACTGTCCCGGCCTGGGGATAAATACCCTCGGTACGAGAGATAACACACTGATATTAGTTGTACGATTGGTATTTTCCTGTTTTACTAAAAAAGCAAATTTATTGTAATTATTTCTCATAGAACACTTAAATACAGTAGGCCTACTACAGTCCGGCTGATCCAAATGAAACTTGAGGAAAAACAATTTTTGTAACTGAGCGGAGCGAAGCGAAGCTCTTTGGGGCCAACTTCAATGCAATCTTTGTAAATCTTAATCTCAATAAAGGCTGAACATATTTTAGGCAAACTTACCAAGGTTGTTTTGTCAAATGCTTTGATGTTTTAGACGTAACTAATTTCATTTTTTGGTAATGCCTATATAATTTTAAAGTAACTAAAAGTGTTTTAATTTTAACATTGGCCTAACACCATGATGATTACTAAATAACAACGTAAATGTAAACAAAGCACAGGATATGTTAAAATCAAGCCACGACCTAAACACAGTACAAAGGAAAAAAATTTGGATGATGACAACTGATAAAATAATCAGGCCCGTTTTTGACCCTGTTAGCGCCCTAGGCACAACTAATAGTAGCGCCCCTTTGCAATATATATATAAGGGTGTCCACCGACCGGGAAATCCGGGAATCATGCGAGAATTTTATGAACCGGGAAATATGTGTAAATTTTGTATTTCTACATGGAGTTTTCAAATTACCGTGATCGCGCATGACAACAGTTTCCATGACCGCGGGAGACGATAATATGTCTACACTCGGCCGCGAGATATTCATAATATTGCCACGATCACGGAAGACGATGATAATGTCCACACAACTGTGGAACATGATTAACATTTTGCTGCAATCGCGGGAGATGATTACCATGTATACAGAATGATGATGATCAGAATATTGCCGAGATCACGGAAGACGATGATAATGGCCACACGATCGCGGGAAAAGTTCAGTACTTTGCCTAGTTTGCGGAAGAGGATGATGATCTCCACAAGACCGAGGAAGATGATTACCATTTTGTCACAATTGTGGGAGGCGATTAATATGTTTACACGACCGCGGGGGACGATATAATGATGTCTTCACAGCCGCGAGGGGTGGTCAGAATTTGACCGCGATCGCGCAAGACGAAGATAATGTCCTTACGACTGCGGGAAAAAATCATAATTTTGCCTCATTTGCGGTAGACCATGATAATCTCCTCACGACCGCGGGATATGCTCATATATTGCTTCGATCATGGAAGACGATAATTATGTCTAAACGACCTGACCGCTGAAAATAGTAAGAATCTCGCCGCAAACGCGGGAGACGATTACGATGTCTACACGGCCGCGAGGGATTATCAGAAGTTTACCGCAGTCGCATGCAAACAACCACCAATTTTTTTTATTTTTCAAATTTTTGGCGCCCCCCAAAAAAGCCAATTGCCTCGCACCCTAGGCACGTGCCTACCGTGCCTATTCGGTAAATCGGCCACCTGCAAATAATACAGAAAATGTCTTAGGTTTACATTTAAGTAGCAATTTGGAAACCACCACTGATCAAATAGGTACAGTCATAGATAAAACATACTTTATTAGGTATCGGTACAGTATTTAACTGATTTGATTTGCTTAATTAAATAAGGTTTATAACGTTATAACAAATAACATTTTATCTTAAACAATTCGTCGGTGAATCACATTCATGGATTCATCTCATAAATGGCAAACTTAAACGGGTCCACGACGTAGGAAGTGGTGAAGGAAGTTGTAAAGGCAAGAAGAGCGGAGTGTGGGAAACGTTTGTGGCAGTTAGATAATTTTATCTAAAATACTAAAATGCTATGGGATGGGAGGGAAACAGGTCCACGAAGTAAGGAAGTGGTCAAGGAAGTAGTAGAGGCTAGCAGTGCAGAGTGTGGGAACCACTTGTGGCAGTTACATTAATGTATCTGCAGTACTAAAATGCTGTGGGAAGGGAGGGAAACAGGACCACGACGCAGGAAGTGGTGAAGGAAGTAGTAAAGGCTGGCAGTGCGGAGTGTGGGAACCGTTTATGAGAGTTACATTATTATTAATGTATCTGCAATACTATAATGCTATGGGAAGGAAGGAGAACAGGTCCACGACGTAGAAAGTGGTGAAGGAAATAGTAAAGGCTAGCAGTGCAGTGAGCGGGAACGCGTTGGGGCAGTTAGATTATTGTATTTAAAATATTAAAATGCTACGGGAAGGGAGGGAAACAGGTCCACGATGTAGGAAGTGGTGAAGGAAGTAGTAAAGGCCAGCAGTGCAGTGTGTGGGAACTGTCTGTGGCAGTAAGATTAATATATCTGCAATCTTAAAATGCTCTAGAAAAGGAGGGAAACAGGTCCACGACGTAAGAAGTGGTGAAGGAAGTAGTAAAGGCTAGCAGTGCAGAGTGTGGGAACATTTGTATTTTGTATTATATCTATAAACATTTTTTCATTTAGGCTATTGCTTTTTTTAAACCATGAAACATTACTTCTCCGCTCATATGGCTTTCACTGCTATGAAAGCAATCCTAGTATTTTTTAACTGAGGAAAGTAATTCTACATAATTTTTAGGTACCTAATTTATTATTTTAATTGTATTTTTAAAAACTAACAAGTTTTGCTGTTAAACTCAGTAGTTTTAACTTTAACCATCATTTTAGACTTCATCTATGCAGTCGTTACCCTAACACTAGTATTTACTAGGGATGGACGAGATTGGATTTTTAGTTCGAGACGAGACGAGACGAGATTTTTTATTTCTCATAAAATTTCGAGACGGGATTTCCCTTCTCATACACAACGGGAAATGCACGTTCAAAATTTTGACCTGATTTTGTAGCATTGTTAGATGACTGTTTAAATACAAAAATAATGATAATAGGCAAGAATATTTACAATCTTTTATTAAAAAACATCAGCATAACTTAACATTTTTTTATTAATCACGTCCAACTTGTTAAAAATACCTACAATTAGGAAACATAGTGATATCAGTTAGGATAGAGTTCAACTTATCCTAAGATAAAATAAATCATAAAATAAAAGCAATATTAATTTTTATAAAATAGTTACTTGTTTTGACTTTTTTATAGTAATAAAACATTCCTCACACTGCTTACACTTAACAAAACTTCTCAAATGTTATTAAAGTAACATTATTAAAATAATTAAAGTAATATTTACATTTAAAGAATTAATTAAATAAGAACGCCTTCGCAAAGGAAACGCAACTACAACACGCTCCTGTATTGCGGGTATTGCATTGACTTTCTGCAGGCGTTTTTATTTATTTTTTTTTTTATTCTTGTCTCGATAAAAATCTCGTCCAAAAAGAAATCTCGTCCAAAAAGAAATCTCGTCTCAAGTAACAAGATTTAAAATTTCCCGAAATTTTGAGACTTGACCATCCCTAGTATTTACCACACATAGGAATCGACTGTGGAAGAATTTCCCAAAGAATCAGACACCTGTATGGAGATGAAATATTCAATTTTATTTAGTTTTTACTTTATCCTGCCGTACTAGCAAAGTTCTAGGTCAAAACATAGTGCAGCTTTTTAAAAATGTATCGTTATTTTCATCCATTCAATATTCTTAACTGTTGAATACATTTCTCAGGTATACAGTGACTGTGGCTGATTCGCCCAAGGCTAAAGATCCTGGGAGTATGAAGTTTGCTGCTTTTATCGTGCCTCAAGGAAGGTTAGAAAATGTTATATATGGCATGTTGATTGTGTTTTCTTAACCACGATCTCAGATCAAATTATTCGCAGGGAGTTTCACTCTTACAGTGAAATGGCAATCTGAGTGACCAAACTGATTCTCACAAAGGTAAGCCTAGCCATGGCAAATTTCACTTCACAGTAAGAACAAAATGTATTACAATAAACTTATTCTGATGATGTAGTTGAAAGCAAACAAATTGAGATATAGTGATACTGTCCGCAAATGTATGCGTATTAAGCTCATTCACTCTGGTAATTTTGCCAATAGCTTAGCACTTAATTTATTATCAATAGAGAATTGTAGACTAGGTACCAAAATACCATTTGATAAAGCAAAACAAATAAACCAACTTAGGATTAAAGACTATTCATTTGCATTTTCAAAAGGGCAATGCTAGTAGTTGTTAGAGGAAGCTGAGATTCAAATCACAAATTTTTTATCCATGTCCTATGACCTGGAGGTCATAGAGAGTTGGCCTCTCGACTCTTTTATTGGTGGAATAGGCTTCTTACTTCTGTCTGTTGTCAACATTTTCTTCAACATCCAATGAAGTTTGGACTAAAAACCTATTTTACCTAAAAACCTAGGTTTGGTAAGAAACCTATTTTGCCGACCTTTTAAGGTACACCTATTTTGAATAAAGATGAAACTCTCAGACAAATAGACAATTTAAGATATTGGAGAACAATGCCCATGAATAAAATAAAATTTAATATAAAAAATAAACTATTAACACACTTTTTAACATAAAAATACTAAATTTCGGCTTGAGCCTTCTACAGGAACAATAGGCTAACAAAGACAAATAATAACATAAAAAATGTGTTAATAGTTGATTTTTTATACTGAAAAAACCTTTTGGTAGTAAATAGGAAGAAACAATTACGATTATTTAAAGAAGCCAATTAGAGACAGAAAAAATTGTTGTCATAAGAATATAAATTGAACAATTATTTTATTGGACTAAACACTACCATTGACTATTGTATAATGAAGTTGACATTTCATCTACAGGGTGTAGAAAATAAGGGTATGGGGTAGAATAAGGCGAAGCAAGTCAGGTTTGCCTCATTTTACAACTAAAAACCATTATATTTTAGCTATTTTTTATCAATCTTTTTGAACTTGGTACCGTTTGATAGGGTATTAAAAATGCTAAATAAAAGTGTTCTTGACATTTATTCATAAAATCAGCATTATTTTGGTAATTTAAGTTTACAAGTTTTAAATTGCTGTTAAATTGCAAAAGTTTTTTTCCGTTGCTTAAATAATTCTTGAGATATAAATTGTTTTGTAAAACATACAAAATAGCGGCTAGCGGCTAAACAAAATTTGTTTCTACCTATGTTTATTATGAACTTTTTTTGTTTGGATTGATTAGTACTATCAGCCCCTGAGGTTTGTGACACCCCTTTATGAACACCTTGTATATTAACCAGCTATCGCCAATTTTTTTATTAAAAAAGGACATAGTTGAGTTAGCCAGTCATAGTTTAGTCTAAATTTATATTTTCTTATTTTTTGCTGTTACAGTACTTAGTTAAAGTGACGTCAAAGATGCTATAGCTTAAGTCATCCTATCAGTTTCACTTGGTTAAAAAGTCCTGTAAATGCTACGTAAAACAGTAATTTACATCTGCACGATCTGTCGGTAGCTCACTTCAACTACGTTCATTTTGATTGAAAAATCAGCTTCTACTTTAATATGAGGATAAAATGTATAGTTTTAACAACAGTTGAATGTTTTTGATAATTTGATTTTAAATACACTTTTGTTAGACATAAATGTAACACTCACTTCATATTTTAATTCTTTATTTTTACAATATAGTCTAATTCTTGTATCATTGTTTTTGTTGTTCTTTTAACATATGTTTCTATTTCTTCTTTTAGCGAATTTCCCTATAGGGAAGTAGCTATTACCGTAGGTGGCACGGTAAGACCTAGACCCGGGACCGATTTACTTTTTCATTTTGATGTCCCCAGAGGCCAAAAACACCATTCGTTCAAATTTTTATATATGTATATATATATATATATATAGACTTATATATATATATATATATATATATACGTCCGTGAACGCGATAACTTGAGTAATTTTTGTCCGATTTTGATGAAATTTGGTTTAAAGGTGTAAAGCGGGATAAACTTGAATGAGTTCGCGAACCAGCACGATCGGACCATGGGAACGGGGCTTTACGGGGGGTTTTATGGGGTAACAATTGGTTTTTCTCACTTTTGACCCTCAAAACACAAAATTTCCCGATTTCTCTTTAAACCTTTTTAAAGAGCTTAAAAAAACAAACAATTTAGTATATAAAAGTATTTTTGTTTGATTATTAGTAACGGAGAAAATTAAAAAAATTGTAAATTTAAAATTCCCATGTTATTTTTATGGAGAATATTGTCAAATGTTGTAGTTTGCTTGTTTATGGATATATTTTGGTCAAACTTGGCAAATTTATTTATTTTGTACTAAGCTATCAATATTTTACTCAAAAACACACTTTATTAGTTTCCTTGTAGCAGCAAACCTAGGTACTCGTTAAACCTAATGTTATATAAATATATTTAACTGAAAATCAATTCAGACAAATGGAAATTCGCTTAGTTTGCAGGTTTGCTGCGGCGGGGGTATTTACAGTATAATATGAAAGTGCATAGGGTTGATTATATCAATTGGGATTATATCAATTGGGCCTTAACATACCGCCCGCCAAAAGAAACATTTTCTTTTCAATAAGGAACAATTAAGAAGTCTATGGTAAAGGGTAACACCAATTTTTGTGATAAGTTAAATAGACAGAACACTAACAAAAAAAATCACAAAACTATGTGATTAAGTAGTTTTAGCATTTGCTTGAGCTGAAACTGATGACTTGTTCTGCTTCTGTAGAACAATTCACTTTCTTTTTTATTCCAAGTATGATGTTTAGATGTATTGTGTAGCTTGGGTCTGTGAGAAAAAGGTGGGCCAATGTCTATGCGAGGTTTAGCATTATAGATCCCGCGATAATGACTGGACATATTCTGGTACATAATAGTTTGAGCTACACCATTTTTTGGATGGACTTCATAGTTGTTCATTCTTTTCATAGCTTTGATTGACGACTTCATGTTCCCAAGCGACTCTCCAATTTTAGGATCTTCGTTTTTAAAAGGGAGCGGAACTATGTATCTTCCTTCCTGATTCCGTTTTACAGCATTACAATAGATCATCTCACATTTTTCTTCTTCAGGGTTAACTGATGTATGGACTGGGATTTCTTCTAATTTGCAAATTTGTCTAAGTTGATCATCTACATAATGTTCAATGGTTGCAACATTGGAAACAATAGATGAAACCTGTTCATATGGCTGTATTTTGTCGTTAAAATCGAATGGACCCATCAAAATATACCCGAAACTACTTTGGTAAGGAACGGGGTAACCTTTGGGAGCAGGCATCCGCCCGCCATCTATTACCTCAGGGTACAAGTCTGCACCCAACAAAAATTCAATTTTTCCTGGTACGTCAAAAGTAGGATCTGCAAGTTCTAAATGTTTGTATTCGTCTTTGATACATTCTAGAAGGGAGGTAGAAGGCATTTGAGATGTAATTTTCTTCAGAATCACAGCATTAGTCTGAAGGCGAAATTCAGAATCAAAACGAGGTTTCAGAGTGCACGATACAACTCCTTTAGTAGATAAAACAGTAGATTCTGCAATACCAGATACATGTTCATTGAATGTCTTTCGAGGAAGGCACAGGCGCTGACAACAATCTTCAGTTATAAAGGAAGTCTGAGATCCAGAATCAATCAAATAAGTTCTAACTGGTTGGAATTGACCTGATCTATCCTTTATATGAATTAAAGCAGTTCCTAACAAAACTGAAGAAGGCCTAACACTGCTCCATGTATGCAAGGGACTTGACTTAAGTTTTTCAGCTGGTTGAACGGAATTTTCATTAGGACCTACTTTATTATTCTGCCTTACCCTAACCTGAGCCTTGTTGGTTAGGCCAATATCATCATTATGTAGTAAACTGTTGTGTCTTGCTCCACATTTAAAACAGCTAGTTTTTGAAGTACACTCATTTAGTTTATGCGAGGTCCTTAAACAATTAAAACAAGCATTTTGTGTTTTAATCCAATCCCTACGCTGAGCAGGAGTTTGTCGTCCAAAACGTTCACATTTATAAATTGTGTGAGCTTCCTTGCAAAATAAGCACTTTACTGCATTGAGATTACAGGCTCTTTGATGAAAATAAGGCTTATTATTAGTGTATTGATTATACGGTTTATTTGTAGAAACTTCTGTCACAGAAGTTTGAACCGTTTCAAGAGCTTTACACTGTTCATCTAGAAAACTCAAAAATTGGTCAAAAGTAGGCAATTCAATATCAGAATGAAGTTCAAAATCAGTGCGCATCTTATGATCGATTTTGCAAACAACACTGTGAAGCAAGAGAAAGCTCCATTGCTCAACATCTAGGCCTAGTGTTTTTAAGGCACTTGTATTTTCAGATAAGGTATCAATGAAGTTTCTCAAAGCCTTTGGAGATTTTGAAGTTACTGGAGATATGTTTTCTTTGTATTTCATCCAAGTAACATGTAGCAAGTTTACGCTTATTTTGAAATCTAGATACAAAACTTTGCCAAGTAATGGTATAATTGACATCAGTAATGGGGAGATTCTTTGCTAACCTCAATGCATCATTTGTACATGAGCCAATAAGGTACATGAACCGCTCAATGTTTGACAATGATTTATTTTCATGCACTAGTTGTCTAAATAAATCATAAAAGGTAGGCCATTCTTTGAAGTTGCCAGAAAATGTAGGCAAACTAATTTTAGGTAACTTTGCTTGGCTTTGTACGGGCAAATGGTTAGTTTCAGATCTAAAACTAGGTGTTTGTACTTGTTCAATTTCGGGAGGGACAATCTTTGACTTAACAGTTAAAATGTAGTAATATTTGTCACTAACATTATCAGAAAGCTCTTCTACTTCACTATAATCTGATTCATCTAGCCTAATTGACTTTTCAAAGCAATTATTTCTGATTGGAGTGTGTTAAATTCCTCAAATAACTCAAGAATGGATGCACTACGAATTTTAAAGGATTCACAATCTTCAGACTTGGTGGTTGTTCCTAAGCTTAAGCCTAGGTTATAAACTTTGACTATTTTCTTTAAAGTACAATTTCTACGAAACTGGACCGCATCAAGTTGGCTTTTAAGTTTCTTAACTACTTCATCCGTCATGTTACTAGAAGTGGGTTAGAAGAAACTAGTTTGAATTGTTGTAGTCTAACAATGGGACCAATAATTGTGGCTTTACATACAAGGTAAAGTAATTGAAAAGGGTCAAAAGAACAAAAAATGAATAAGAGATGTAAATTCAGGTCCAATATCCTAAAGCTTAGACTGTGATTGTGTAACTTTTTGATTCCTGGATGGGAAAACAGCACAATGTGAATCTGTTGATTCCTTGGTGGAAAACAGTAATCTTCAAACTGTAGAAATTGATAAAAATGGACTTACAATAGATGCTGTGCACAATTAATGTGGCTGCGAAGGACCATAATGTTTTTGATAATTTGATTTTAAATACACTTTTGTTAGACATAAATGTAACACTCACTTCATATTTTAATTCTTTATTTTTACAATATAGTCTAATTCTTGTATCATTGTTTTTGTTGTTCTTTTAACATATGTTTCTATTTCTTCTTTTTACAGTATAATATGAAAGTGCATAGGGTTGATTATATCAATTGGGATTATATCAATTGGGCCTTAACAGTTGAAGGTTATAAATTGTGTTGCACAGGGAAAGGGAGTGGCTGTTTGGGTCACCTGAAGGACGTCAAATTCTAGTGCAGAACTCCGGGTTTGACCGACTTGCAGTGATCAGGCTACATAGAGAACACAAGTACGAGAGTCTGAAGGCAACGCAGGACGAGACATCTGACACAGTATTGCGACTGGCCCCCAACTACAAGAGCTCAGGCCCACGACCGGTCAGTTGTATTCGATACTGTTGTGTTTGTATACAGGTTAAGGATGGCCTACTTAGAAAAACAAAACAGTAGATATTAGTTTTTTATGTGCTATGGCGGTTATACTGTAGTAACAAGCCATTTTATCATGAGACCATGATTACGTTAGAGATCAAAGATATGTTGAGACCGTGGGAGATATTGACGGATTTGCTGCGACCCCATGAGACGTTTACGATTTTGCAGTGATCGCAGAAGATATAATGACCCCACGACCACAAATCTGAAGGGCGCTGGTTCGAATCCATGCGAGATCGTTTCCAGACCCATATGCCATTTGTCATTGGGATATTAATGATGCTATCTAACAAAAATGTCGACGTTAGGTAGTAACAAGAACAGGGTTAGGACCGTTCCCCTTCAAAATGTAAAAAATGCATTGGCGTAAAAACGCACACAAAATAAACAGCAGCTGTTTCTCCAGGACCTTGCGATAAGTTTATGATCTCACTGAGATTGCATATAATTTATAATTGTATGTTTGTGAACAAATGTAAATATTAAAGGCTAAATGCACAGCCCCTTCTTTTCCTACCTGGTGGCACCCATGCTCTTGATTGTTCAGAAATAAATGATAAATTCTCATAATTAGATTGTGTTAATTACATATAATACAACTAAAACAAACGAACAAGTACAGTGTGCAAGTACAGTTTCAAGAGTTTCAACACAAAACACTGTATTTATTTTTTGCAGAAAATCCCATTCCTCTCTGTGGCGGAAGACCTAGGTAATGTGACGGAGATTGCCCGAGGGACGAGTGACATCTCGGGTGATTTCATAATAGAAGACGCTGAGGGAGGAGACAAACAACTCTACCGTAGACTGGTGTTTCTGGTCAATCAGAGTGTCGTACAGTCTGAGTCCAAGCTGAAAATAGGTATTGGACCAGCATGTGTGGATTCACTACAGTTCTCTTTTTAATACGTCTGTGTTTAAATAAGTTACCTATTGGCATTGCACCATCAGACGTTTATGTACTTTTTCTATGTAATTCAAGCTTAATACTATTGTTGAATGATTTCTTAAAGGAATCAAGCAAGTTAGAAGAGATTAACCAGATCAGACCATGAGACCCTAAGTAAGCCTTAGCAAAAACTAGTTTTATTTTAACTCATGTTTTCTCACTTCCAGTTCAACAGAACGGAGAGACGATCAAGACAGTGGACCTATGTTACTTGGGCTGTGACCACCACGTCTACATGACTATGGGGGTGACTATGGTGGCTACGGAGAAACCCTTCCATGTTCTGGTCATCGGACTGGGGGGTGGAGGACTGTGTACATACATACACAACTGCTTCCTTTCCGTAAGTGGACCGGCTAATTTATGAGTAGATTACTTGTTATGTCCTTCCTTCACATCCTAGTAGTATGGGCTGTGGCTCATAAAGGCCTGGTTCCACAGGATGCGGAATCTCCGCCGTGCGGTGCGATTTTTTCCGCTGCGGAATTAAAACGACACTGGTCTAATGGAGTTCCCATGTATGCGGTTCCTCTGACTTGCGATTCCGCATCCCGAAATTTCCGTTCCGCATGGCGGAGAAATCATACTGGTCTGAGAGCAGTAGCAGTGCGGATTCCGCCAGCGGAGAAGAGCCATCAAATATTGTGACCGTGCAGTTTCATTATGTCTTGTGCTGTAAAAAGAGTTATAGGAGTAGATGAACGATTATAAAGTAACGCCTATAATCGCAACACCGATTTTCAACAAACTTACTGTTAAAATAAATTATTATAATACATTTAACATAAACTGTCAAAAATGGTAGACCTGACGAACAATTATCCTGAGATGTTTGGGTATCAAGTGTTAAACGGAATCTCGTGATTGAAACGCTTTAAGTTTTGTTAAATAAATAGCAAAAATAGGCCCCTTCACTGTCTCGATTCTTAAATATGTCACTTCGATCACTGTGACTTGACGCTAACAAAGATAAAAGATCGACAACATCATCATCAATGTCATCATATAGCATCAAAGCCAAAAGGGCTTTCGTCTTTCTATCCATACTCGTCGCTAGTTTGGACAGAACTGAATCTCCGCAACGTTATTTTCGCAGTCTGTAGAACCACCCCTCTAGATTTTTCGCTGCGTAATTTTCCGCTGCGAAAAATTACGCACCGCATGGCGGAGATTCCGCATCCTGTGGAACCATAGCTTGACCGTTTTACAGGATAGGTCTATAGAGGGTTGTGGCATCCAAAAATTCATGACACAGGCTCCTCTAAGTGTGCTTCTTCAGAAGAACTAGGCTTCTTAAACTATTTCTCCAAGGGCTCTCGCCTCAAAAACTACGCTTTGATCAGTGATGTGTTGAAACCAAAATTTTGGGGGAAAAAATTAAATGTAAAACTCAGAAAATTTGTTATTTTAGTATTGTTCGTTTTGAAAAGAAATCACCTTTTCATTGTGGTAAAATATCACTTGTCTTCAAGATTTCTCTCTTGGCTACTCTATCTTCACTAGTGAAGTTGTCGATAAAACACAATTATTTTCCTTTACCTTCTTATATTGTAAATTATTATGAAATATGCATCAATTAAGAGTTTAAAGTAAATAATTAAGCTCAATATTATGTGAGTTTTTGGCGTTGATAATGACATATCATATTACAGGTGAGGGTGACTGCTGTAGACATTGATCCTAAGATTCTTGAAGTTGCTACAAAATACTTCCATCTCAAAGAAGACGAGCGACTACAAACAGTCATAGAGGATGGGCTCGACTACTTGAAAAAAGCTGCTAGCTCAGGTAAAATATTTCCGTACTGTTTCAATTCTTTGAGCTCAAATCTGATGTTTTGGCTGTTATGTGTCACATCTACATACATTTTTCTTTTTGCTTATGCTTGCAAAGTAAAAATAACTATATCAAAACTTGTAAGATTAATTCCAGTTATAAATTGCACAGTTGTAAGAAGAAAGAGTCATAACTCTTAAAAGTAACAATTATTTCACCTAATCTCTTAGTTTTTTTGCAGGTGTAAAGTATGATGCGGTCTTGTTTGATATTGACTCCAAAGATTCCAGTTTGGGTCTCAGTTGTCCACCAGCGAGCTTCCTGGAGTCTGACATACTCACTGCTACAGCTGGCTGTCTCGACGACTCAGGTAACATCAAAATTACTACTATGAAGATGGTCCTATAGAAATTGTAACTCTTGTTAATTCTAACTGTAGCAGTTCCCAAACCAAGTGTCGAGATAGGGATTTGAGTGGGTTAGAGAATTTACCTTTTACATTGCCTATTGATAGAACTAGACAATCCATCCCCATGTAATAGTTTAGTTTAGTTTTACACCAAATACTGATAGGCCTTTAATTTATTGTAAGCTAAGCATCTGTTATGTGTATATATATAATTTTATAGACCGCAGCACACTCAATGGATCATTCTACTATGCTCATTTTAATAAAGAATCAGCTTCAACTAGTCCAAATGGGATGTACACTTAAGCCAATGATGTATATTCAGTACAGTTGAACTCCATACAGAGATAATTAAAAATACCCCCGCCGACTAAGCGAATTTCCATTTGTTTGAATTGATTTTCAATCAAATCTATTTAAATTACATTAGGTTTAACGAGAACCTAGGTTTGCTGCTACAGGGAGGCTAATAAAGTGTGTTTTTTAGTAAAATATTAATAGCTTAGTATAAAATAAATAAATTTGCCAAGTTTGATCAAAATATGTATCCATAATCAAGCAAACTACAAAATTTTAAAACAAAAACACTTTGATATACTAAATTATTTGTTTTTTTAAGCTCTTTAAAAATGTCTAAAGAGAAATTGGGAAAATTTGTGTTTTGGGGGTCAGAAATGAGAAAAACCATTTATTTATTTCCCCATAAAACCCCGTTCCCATGGTCCGCTCATCTTGGTTCGCAAACTCATACAAGTTTATCCAGACTTACACCTCCAAACCAAATTTCATCGAAATCGGACATAAATTACTCAAGTTATCTACCTATATAATCTATATACATAAGTAATAGCTACTTTACTATAGGGAAATTCGCTAAAACCTAAAACTACATAGATATGAATTCAGAAGCCTTTAATGTATTGTAAGCCGTAAATATAGGAATTGAATTGAAGCTGTGATCGCGACAAAATCCTGAACTTCTTTTGCGTTATAAATCATTATTTTCCATGATCATGATAAAATCCTAAATATCTCCCGCAGTCGTGTGGGCATCATCGTCTCCCGCATTCACGAAAACTATGAATATATTCTAAAATCACGGCAAAAACGAGTATTTTACAATCACAAACGTTTTACAGTCAAGATCTGCCTTCGTAATAATATCAACATCGATAATTTTGCTGTACAAAAATCAACTCGCTCAACTATATTTAAACAACTTGTATATTTTACATGTAGCATGAGCAAGATAATCTGTAAAATTTTCCTTTTTTATTCACTACTAGCTGTGTGCCCGTTCTACGCACGGGGATCTTATAGTAGTCAGTTGAAACCTTCTTATATTAAGATTAAGAACAGCAGTTAGTTTGCATATTTGCAGATATGCTGGCAAAACTATTATATATAAACCTTCGCAAATACAGTATCTGACAGTTCAAGCCAAAATAAATGCTTCGCAATTAAATGTCACCCGGGTCGTTATGGTCCATATGTCCAATGATTAAACTAAAAAATGTTTTATAGATCCATGAAGCGTAGCCCTATAATTGAAAGTTACTTTCCACATCGGTTAACTTAAACGTATTTAAAGTACTACCTCAACCTCACCATTTAACACTTTATTCCGGTTGACATTTTCAGTATCAAAGGTGCTCTTGTCCATTCCGTGAAACACTGAGAAATAAGGACATTAATGCGTTACCAACAGACATACACACAACAATCCAAAAAAGGCCACGAACTATTGATACATAAACAATACAGGGTGAGTTTTAATTGTCCCCCCCCCCAACTTTTTTCAACATTTTTTTAAATATCAATCCCAGACCAATTCCAAACATTGTTGGGTAGTAAGTACTTCATTTTGACAAGGTGGTCATTTCCGGCCGCCATCTTGGATCCGCCATATTAGATGCAAAATATTTTTTTCAAATGTAAAGGTGGGGTTGTGACCCATTATTTTAAGCTAGATTTTTATCCTGATTACAATGCCACAAACCGTTTCAAAAAATCTTGATTCATTCCAAAGTTTTGAGGGCTGTTTAAAACTTTATTTTTAGCCCATTTTAACATTGTGCATTTACAAACTAAGGACCATAATCTCAAAATAGTGCTAGATAAAGACAAGTATACACTACCAGTCATTGTCGATTTATTTTCACTTGGTTATGACTGATGTAATTTTTTCGGCCGCCATCTTGGATCTGCCATTTTGGAATATGATAAATTATTTTAAATATGAAGGGGGTGTTGTGACCCATCATTTCGGATTACTTTTTTAAGCTGAACTCAATTCCATGATCCGTTTTTCATTTTCATATTTTGATTTTGAAATACCGTATTCACATTTTTAACCAAAAAAATGCAATATCTCAGAAATAAAAACTTGATAACAAAAAAATGATTGCGGTATTGAGTTTAGCTTAAAAAAGTAGTTCGAAATGATGGGTCACAACACACCCTTCATATTTAAAATAATATATCACATTTCAAAATGGCGGATCCAAGATGGCGGCCGAAAAAAATACATCAATCATAACAAAGATAAAATATGTTGAAGAAATGAACTGAAATGACCACCTTGTCAAAATGAAGTACTTACTACCCAACAATGTTTGGAAGTGGTCTGGGATTGATATTTGAAAAAATGTAGAAAAAAGTTGGGGGGGGGACATTAAAAACTCACCCTGTATAAAGGCGTAAACAATTCATGATGGTTTGCCCAACAAATGTTTTACTCAAATAGGTTATCATTTTCTTAGCATACCGGGTAAGCTAAGATTTGGAATCCAGACAGAAAAAGCAAAACTTATACAGAGTTAAGACATCACTTAAATTGAATACGGACGGCTCTAATAAATAAGGTGCAACACCAACGATAACTAATTTGTAAACTACAGTGATGTGTTGGCACCTACGTAAAAATGATTCTAGCAGCTACCAACGGTTCTAAGGAAAAGAACCAGTACCTATGTAAGAACCTACCTAAGAACTATAGTACATCCGACCAATTAAATACATTAATATCTAGTCCCGAGGTTATTGATCTCTTGATTTTGGATTTTCTCGTAAAAAGTTATAGCGTAAACTTATCGGTGTCAGTTTGAAAAAAAAAACAACCTTACCCAAACAACTTTTTGTTATTTGATAGATTACGCATTCTCTAAACAATGATTAGTATATCTATTAACATTAGAAGGAAATGTGACGAAAATCACACAATGTTGGGGTTTTGGTCATTTGTAATTATATTTCTTAAGTAGGTAGGCCATGTATTCTATGGAAAAGTACCGGTATCAAGGATCGTCGTCAAAAAGGTTGTTATGAATAAATATGTAGGCTTACGTACCCAAGATATGAGCTATGGGCCTATTGGCTGTATGGTCCAGCGATTGCATCACACGGTGAGTAGAAACAGAAAGTGACACATTGGAAAAGCGAGTTTAGCACTTCCTCTGTTAAACCTCTGTTACAATCACCCACTGCAGTTGTGATTTTTTACTTTACTCTTTACACAACCGCCATTGAAGCGCCGTCAATGAGTGGAAACCTTTTTTGTAAGCTATTGGCGACGATCATTTCAGTGTCCAGCCCTATACAACACTGATTCTAGGTCTTCTTTCTGGTTGTCAAAACTCAAGAAACATTTTATACTCAAAGAATTTCTGGTTCTGATTTGGACGATGTCTAGTTATTTAATTTCATTTACGGTTACACTATTAGACTATATTATTGCACTTGCGATTAATTAAATCCGTTATGTAAGAAAAACTTTTTTAATCTCACTTGGTTGGGATTTGCTTTCAAATTGTGATTCGAAATGGTTGCGGTATTTGTAAACATATCATTGACAGCTAGAAAAAAATAATCTTGATCCGAACAGCTGTTCGTTATTTCATAGACGATTATGTGATAAAAATTGAACGAAAATTTGACAAAAATCGCACAAAACTGCATTTTTGAACGTCCGTAATTTTATTTACAAAGTAATGAGGCTATATTTAAATCACTAAAGACACTCTCGCCAATCCAGTGAATACATTAAAATGACTTGGATCTTGATAGGTACTCTGGTTTTCACGGAGAAGATTGTGTAAAATGCCATCTTGAGTGTTACAGACAAAGGGAAAGACAGACAGACAGACAGACAGAAATAGAGATAAGACTCGTTTCTGCTTCTTTAATGTATAAAACGTAAAAATAACCTAAAAGTATATAATTCTGAGCAAAGTACAAAACTCTAATTTTATTTATATAGATAATTAAAAACTCATACAGTACCAAAGATGAAGTATTTTCTCTATAATACCCCAAATTATGATAAAAATTCAACTAACGGTATTTTCAGAATGTTGTTCAGTCCAAATTGATTCTCTGTTTGTCAAAGATAATGAGTTTCAATTGTGTATGGTGAAATAAGGTCCTCATAATTTTATCACTTTTAATCTCATAACCACTTTTTGCAGGAGTGTTTGTTCTGAACTTGACTTGCCGCATTGCGGATATCAGGCAGAAAACTTGGACCAGACTTAGAAAACTTTACAAGGACATTTCAACAGTAAAACTGGAACAAGAAGTCAATGAGATTTTCTTTTGTTGGAAGACAAAAGCCACCATGTCTCTCCCAGATGCGGCAGATAAACTAAACAGCATCGTCAAGATGAGGAAAATACAAGAAGATGATCTTGTTGATAAGGAAGAACTCTTGACTCTGATAAGATCTAAGTAGTGAATCTTTCTTCATGTCACTGACACAAATTTGTACAGATTTTTATTTTACGTGTATAACATGATATTGGAAGTGTATATATTGTGAATAAATGTATAAACAATTGATAAACTCATGTCATATTTTCTCATTTTTTTAAGCATTTACTATTTCAGTTAAAACAGTTTACTGGATTGGAAACTAATAAGGTTTATTAATTTCCAAGGGTTGTTTAACGGGGATTTTAATATAGCTCTTTAGAATTGAATTGTAGCCTACCATAAATATTTAAAGTGGCTAGCCCAGTACACTGGATTCAATATCTATCAGTAGCCTCAATATTTACTGTAGGACACGATTATTAGGAAAAACTAACAAACTCTTCTCTTGAAAATTTATCATAAAACTTCTTTTGTGGCTCAATAGTGTTTTAATCCACCACCAACATCATTTATGTTCTGTAAGAATTTGGGAAAACATTTATTTCCTGATAGTGATTTTCCTGATAGTCCATTTCAAAAGTTTTTGTTCACTTTGTAAAAGTTAGGCAAATGTAGAAAAAAAGGTGTCACCCCTAGAGATTCGTCAAACATTTAATTTTGATACAGTAGACCCCCTCTTAACCGACCTCGTATTAACTGATAATCGGATTATCCGCCTTCGATCGTAAAATAATACAGTTTGTTTTAACCGACCTTGCTTTGAGAGCAGCTCGGTTTAACCGCCGCTTTCTAGGAATCTCGGCATTTCCGCTCCCACGCTGGGCGATGAGAACTGAACCATACGCTTATCTCCACAGGATATGACTAAGAATAATTTATTTTGTATTGATCACAAAAAATATAGCAGAGCCTATAAATCAGTCAGTTTGTCATCATCGTTCGTAGCACGAGCACATCTGATCTGATTTGTTATCTGCGTGGCAAATTTATAACATCATAAAGTGCGTTACGATTTTGAGAACTGATTCTTATCGCTGGAGTAAACAAACAACTCAACTTGTAGGGAGGGCAGGGAAGGGGGGTTAACAACTCCAAGGTCAAGATAGTTTTTGTGCCTCGAGCCTCCAGTGAGAGGCTATAAATAAACATCCTGCCTTGTAACAAAATGGTTGCTTGTATCTTTAATTTCGACAAAAGGTTCTGTAAGATAGGAATTTTTATTGACTCTTGCCTTGTATGTACTGTATTATAATATATTCCACTGAAAGTAGGCCTATTTGACTTAACCATGTTTTGTGTTTTTTGTGACTTTTCTATGAATACGAAAAAGGAGATAAGAGTAGTTTATTTTATAAATAATGCAAGTATGACTTCAAAATAATGAGTATACAATTCCAAATAAATAGCACTTCATGTTATGATTTTAGGGATTGCCTGTTTTAACCGACCTTTGGAGTTATCCGACCTAGGTCCGGTCCCATTAGGGTTGGTTAAGAGGGGGTCTACTGTATGAATATTTTGTCACATACAGGGTGTCCCGGAACTCCCTACCAATATTTTAGGGCATTGCTCCTGGGTAAGAAACATACCTAAATATCATATTTAAATTGTCCGGAAGTCCTTAGTCACAGCCGCCATTTTGTTTTTTTCAGTTATTAATTTTTTTCTAAAGAATGGTTGAACATATGAAATTGAAACTTTACACAAACATTTATGACAACTAGACTAAGCTACAAAAAAATTATGACAATTTTTCAAATTCAAAAAACAAAATGGCGGCCATTTTAAATTTTTATAAAATCAACGGTTTTTGTGTTATTTAAGAAACAAAATTTTAAATGGCTGCCATTTTTTTTATGAATATGAAAAATCGTCATAATTTTTTTGTGGCTTTGTCTAGATGTCATAAATGTTCGTGCAAAGTTTCCATTTCATATGTTTAACCATTCTTTAGGAAAAAATTAATAACTAAAAATAACAAAATGGCGGCTGTGTGAGTAACTAAGGACTTCCGGACAATTTAAATATGATATTTAGGTATGTTTCTTACCCAGGAGCAATGCCCTAAAATATTGGTAGAGAGTTCCGGGACACCCTGTATAATTTAAACTTATGTATACATACAATAGTTATTTGTGTACCTAGTCAGTTTGCACTCGTGTTACACATTATATTTTTCCTACAGTTACTATAAATCATATAAATAATTTAGTCTTTCAATATATATATATAAAACGCTGTACAACACGTTTTTAGGTTAGGTCAAATCCAAACATGGAATGAAATGGGAAAGGCTGCATCAGCTGATTGTAGTCGTAATATCTTGAAGTGTTGCCAACTTATTTTCAAGTGTACACGGATTACGTGCATAATAAAAACACATTGTTTTGTGTTGTTTGGTTGGAATACTGGTGTGCGTCAAAGGAAAACCGTACTCCAAAGTAAGGCTTGCTGTATTATAATCTGTGCAAAGCCCACTTTGTCGGGTGACTGTAGGAAAAATATAATAAATTAATATCAGCTTAGTACTTAACTCAATGGTTGAAAAATAAAAAATAATTTTAAAAGTGCATACATTAAAAGAGTGCTACAAGGGAATAAAGATGTACAGTAAAATAAAACCTTTTTGCAATAGTTAATATAAACATAATTATACTTTAGTACATAAATTACAGCTGCTTAGACATATAAGGTCCATCCAGTGAATATCCAATTTTCTTGTAGTAACTTCTAGTCCCAACACCTATAAGACAAAAAAAAAATTAATGGTAACCTATCTAATCAAATAATATAGTAATAGTAGTTTACGCAACGATCACGTGAAAATAGTGTTAACGACACAAGTAGAAAATTTAAGGGCCAAGCCTTAAAAACTTCTATGAGTGTCGTTAACACTATTTACGCGAGTTGCGTACACTACTTTTACCTATCACAGTTTTTTAATTACTAACAATCACTACTCATAACTTCTAAGAGAGGTTATGTTTTTCGTTTATAACCCCTAATTGCCACTGACAGTAATGCAACAAATCATTGTACCAAACACTACTGTACCACTCATTAACAATTCAATTGGTCTAAATAGCTGATTATTTGGCGTTCGAAGCATTACAATTTTACTTCTTCTCTCTCAATCCTTGACCCTCATTGGTCCATTAGTGTTGTTAAGTAAAACAACCCCTTGATCAGCATTGTACATGTTGATAATTTTACGGAAAGTAAATAAAAGATACGTCTAATAACACTTAAAACATATTTTCCTTTTATGCTTATACTGTTAACTCTCAAGACAGTAAATATAAATAAAAGATGGTAAGTGGCTAGGTGGTAAACCATCTTGTGAGTTAACAGTATAAGCGTAAATATATTTTTTAAGTGTTATTAGACACATCTTTTGTTTACTTTCCTTTAAGTAAAACAACAATTCTGTTGCTATGTGAATCTTTTCATTTCTAAGAACTGAACTGAAATGACTGCTTAACCCTATAGAGGGCGCACGTCGGTGGAAAGACTAAAATGTACCATTTCGGTTATTACTGGAAGGGGGGAGCGGACCGGGCCACCCCTCCTAGATACTCCTCTGGCTAGGGTTGAGCTATTAAATGACAGCGGTTGGAAGGGGTTAGTTCCAAATTAGCCGTCACAGTAACAAAAACAGTGCAAGGTCGGTCATTTTGACCGAAGCACGCGTGTTTGTATGAAATTGGTCGTTAACACTGATGCGTAAGCAATATTTTAAAACCTAAGGGTCTATAGTTGATCTATATCTTTATGAAAACAGACTGACCTGATATGACAGCTATCTTGGTAGAACCGTGTTCCTCCCTGGCTATTCTTTCTGCCTCCTCCATGAGCAACATTCCAAAGCCTTGATGTTGGAATTTACCAGGGTCTCGAGCGCTCACAGGCACCACGGACCCATAAACATGTAACTCTCTCACAATCGACACTGCACCCTGGATAAGCAACAAGTATCAGAGAAACTGTTGAAAAGTTTTGTAGGAAATAGTAGAAAGCCCTTATTTCAAATTCAGCAAAAGTGATAAATTACTTCTACTTCAATATGTGCTTAGAAATATGTGACAAGGACAACATACAGGGTGGCTAGTGACCTGGAAAACCTGGAAATGTCAGGGAATATTAAATATCTGGAAAAGTCAGAGAACTTTGTTATAAGTCAGGGAAAATTGTAAAAGGTTTAAAATAATTTTAATAATTGTTAGGAAAGGTCGATCTAGTGAGAGTACGTGTGCCGTGTGGGTGAAAACAAAGAAATATGTCTGTACAAATAAATTTTGTGTTTTTGTACAAATTAAATTTTTTTATAAACTGCGTATCATCTTATCAAAATCAGTTTAGTTTTACTAAGGTAACTTGCAAAGTTTGAATATAAGCTAGCCTGTATCTATAGATTTTATGAATGTTTTTCATATAAACAAACATAAGACATTCTTCAGAAAAAGATTAGTCTTTATGAAGAATTAGTTAGTATTAAAATTGTAATTTTGAATTTGTCGATCAGGGAAAGTTTTAAAAAAAATCATGGAATTGTCAGGGAAAAGTCAGGGAATTTTTCAATGTGATTTCACTAGCCACCCTGATATAACCGATGTCTTATAAATGATTGTTTAATTTACACCAATGTCTAAGGTAGAGATGAGTGTTGAAAACTCATTCAACAACATTTTTCAACAACTCTACAAGGGGTTTATGGGTTTTTTTTGTTTGTATCAGGTCAAAAGCGTTGGACTCTAGGTCTCAGGCTGTATTGGGTTGCTTTGGAAGGTATTGATTTATCTGAATACAGTACTAAAATCGGTTTAAATAATAGGTATTGTACACATCCTCCCGCAGTTACAGTTAAGTCTTGAACATAATCATGGAGTAATAGTGAACATCTTCCACAGTCACGACGAAATCTAGAACATCCAGGGTCTTAGTAAAATTGAGAACACCTTCCAAGGTCACTGAGATATAATCATCGTCTCCCACAATCATAGTAAAACCTTGAATATCACCCAAAAACGTCAAATTTAAATGTACATCATCACAAATGTTTTCTATAATTTCAAAAATAAAAGCTCGGCTCGAAAATCACGCTGCTTGCCCATTTCCAACACAAACAACTTGGCACGGACATTTTATCCAGCCCAATCCCTTGGGCCAGCAGTTGGCCCAACCTGACCTTAA